AAAGTTGAGCCTGGGAAGAAGCGGGTGGAGGGAAGGTGGTTTTACTTTTGTCTTTGTTCCTCACCAACCTACTGAATTTTCAATGGCAAAAAATAAATTAATTTTCCACAGCTTGAGTCTGTTTTGCCCAACCCACGACTTTTTTCATCTTGTTTTCTTCCCCTGTCCTGCTGAGGAGGGAGAGTGAGAGAGTGGCTTGATGGGCAACTGGCAGCCAGCCAAGGTTAACCCATCACAATATTGAAGATGTCTCAAAAAAATCAAGAAGTCAGAATAAGAACAGTTAAGTACAACTCCTGGACTTTGAAGAAGATTTTTATGCGGTGCTTCACTAAAGGATCTCAAAAACTCTGTAACACTCAGCTGCTAAAGGGTAAAAACAAAAGCCTTTTCTTGCATTACTAACTGACTCAAAGACAAGAAAGAAAAGGATAGAAAATAAATGGTTAGGTTTCAAACCAATGAAAAGTTACAAACAAATCTTCCCAGTAGTACTGGAAAGAGCTAAGAGCTAGGGGAAGCACAGAAAGAATGACTGCTACTCTGGAACAGCTGCCATAGCTAGAGTGTTAATGGACTAAGACTGCAGCTTAGAAAAGGCATGACTAAGGGTTTCTATGAGATCTGTATGGCTATGAATGCTAAGGAGAAGACAGAGGAATCTACAATTTCTAGTAACAAAATATCTAGAGGGAACCAAATGAATATTAGGTGACGTTTAAAATAAAGGAAGTGTTTTTTCCTTATAGGACAAGTAACTGTGGAACTTTATTTCCATACAGTGCTGTAGATGTCAAAAGGATAAACTGATTTAAAAATTAAGAAGAAAAATCTACGGAAGAAACACCCAAAAGTTCTTAAAACAAAGAGATACAATTTCTGCTCAGGAAACCCAAAAGCTGAAAACTGTTGGAGACTGAAGATTGATACTTTCTCTGCTATACATTCTTCAGCGCTTTCCATTCCCTAATATAAACAGATCTTTAGCTTTCATAGCAACTGTTCTTATGATGCAGGTCAAAAAGTACTGACCATGTATACAAGAGCCAGCAACATGCTTGACTGCTGACTGGCATGTACATGCCACCAGTTCTACAGGAATGTTCTTGTGTGCAACTGCATGTGGGTTTTTCATAGGATACCTTCTCCCTTAGACCGCAGATGAGTAACCGCCCAAGGAGATTATGATCACAAGAAAGGTAATAAAAGTCATTTAAATTATCAAAGTCATCTTTCAGTGCAAGTTTCACACGTCATAAATGTGTTCTCTTTCACCTCATGAGATTTAGCAAACAATGGGAAAGACTTTGTCTCAATTAATAGATCAGAATTTGCTATGAGGTTAGTTGCTTAATGCCACTTCAGCAAGCAAAACTAGCCCCTTATTTGAGGCCTGGAATACAGGAAACTTACTGGGACAGAAGCTTGGTCCCACTCTCCACAAGCCGTGTCAGCACCGTAATCCCTTCCATGTTGATGAACTCTGTTGCAAAGGTCACATCTGCTGAAAGTTTAGCCAGTTCCTTCATGGCATCCAGTCGGGCTTCCATACTGTGTGACTGGATCCTCTCCATCAGCTGGCGAGCTGCCCTAGACTGGGAGGAAAAAGGGATGATGCCAGTCACAGACTAGTCACCTGCAGAGAGAGTTCTTCCAGCATCAGCGTTCTGTCAGAAGTCCATGGATGGGCAGAGAGAGCACAGCAAGGGTAGAGATATACCAGCAATGACAGGATAAGTAGCAGTGGTCAGCAAGTCTAAGATAGACTAAAAAGAGGCTGCACTCAGCAACAGTTACATCCAAGCACAAGGCGAATAAAATGCTGTTTTACGTATTAGAGTAAATGCTTGTTTCTCTTTGTGGTGAGGCGAGTGGAGGCAGATATGGAAATATGGAGTGAGACCATTAAAGATATATGATGTTAAAATAAATGTCTCATAGATTCAAAGAGAAGCACAAGTTCATTTTGTGTATCCACATGACATTCTGTAAGATTTCTTGACATAGATCAATGATATCCTCTCAACCACCTCTTGCCCAAATAACTTCTTCCTGTTCTACTCACTCTCATCTATATGCCCTGACACTTGCACAAAAAAGGTTTAAGAATTTCAATTAAAAGAAAGCTGCAACAAGTCTGGAAAAGACAACTGTTGAGGTCACAAGAGCAAGAATTGACTAGGAACAACCCCCTCTGCATCAAATTTGTCTCTTATTCTAATTTCTGCCATTAAGTCACCAGTACTGTTGCTTTCCGACTGATAATACTAACTGCACTCATACTGCGAATGTCCCTGTCAGGTGCTTTACAACATGCTAATCTAGGAGATGCAATAAAAATGTAGACTGGATTTATTTTCAGAAAGTTGTATAAAAGGGCAGAGCGTCCAAAGGAAAGATACACACCACAACTAGGTAGGAAAACAAGAGCGTGTGCTTCATTGTGCAGAATGGCCCACAACAAAGGTAAGCCCCCTACAATTTAGGAAGAAGAAGAAAGAAAAGCTGAGAGGCAAGAAACAGCCTGCCATACAAGGATAGCTACTGAGAAAAAGGGATGTGAGGAAGCATTTACCGGCGAGACTGCCAGCTGTAGTATAGTTCCATTCTTGATGTCACAGCGAGTCTGAAAGAAAAAATAAACTTTAAACTGCAGAAAAGTGGGGGGGAAAGAATGCAACTGGATCCAGAATGCACATTTGTATGCACAGGTAAGGGCGTTTCTATACCACACAACCCTACTGAGGGTATCAAATTGAGTCACTGGGTCCTTGCACCTATGGACTTGCAAAGGGAGAAGTGCAAGGCTCCTCATTTGAACGACATCATTCAAGTCTGAGTATTTTTGATAGCAGAGATGCTGCCCCTCAAGGATTAGTGACAGTATTGTTCCATGACACTAGTCCAAGACATACTGCACTCTTGCCAAGGACATCAGCAAATTGCTGCCTCTCACACTGACCTGTTCTGTGATGTACAGCTGAGGACCATCAGCATATCGCAAGGTGTAGTATTCAGGGTTTGGCAACGACCACCTGGCAGAGGAAGAAGAAGGATACATAAGCTTCTTCCTCCTCTTTCTTCTTGCTCTGAATTAGGAACAGGAGCTTGATCCCAGAAGGGTGGAAAGGAACTTTTAAGCAAAGCTTTAGGACGGAAGATTAGGTCTCCCAAAGAGAAGAGAAAACACATTCCTCTTGAGGGGAATGGGACTTCAGCCTGCTCTAAGTCAAGCTCTGTGGAATGTCTGAAGAGGCCTGCACTTCAGGAACAGCGAGATGGGCCAATTCTCAGAGACACTGACCTTAGAGGCACACATATGCACACACTCAGAATCGGAATAAAGATGTAAGGCTCCTGTTTTCCAGGAGATCCTTTTCTACCCGATTTAAACCCTGGCCCATTCAATGGCCAAAATTGGCAGCAGGCAGCCAACTGTATTGTGCTAGCAGCACACTGACAAGCAGTAGAGACTCTCCACAGTACCCCAGCAAGATTTGTCAAGGGGGACAGACTTCTTCCACAAGGGTTCCCAGAGAACTACTCACCCATCACAGACCTCCTTGATGATGGATGCAAGAGGCCTTTTCTAGAACAGAAAGAGAGAGTCCTCAGTAGCCATGTTCCTCTCAAACAGAAAGGAATACTGCCCATTTCTATGCTTCCCACATTCCAGTATCAAGGTTGTGGTGCATTTCCTCCCCCATCTGGTTACCAGGTCTCACCTGATCTATTTCCAGTAGCTGGGCATTGGCACCTGGCCACTCAACAGCTACTTTCACAATGTCCGAAGGTGGTGGCATTGCTCCAGACTCCTCCGGATGCCTTTACAACAGCTTACACCCACACACCTGTTAAGAGAAAGGATAGTGAGCAGCTCTGAAAACTATTTCAATTGTTACATTGCATCTAACACCAAGCTTCAAAACACTACACAAGACCAGCCTTATGGTTTGCTGGGCCTGCTAGGGACAAAACATCCAGTGTACCAGAGATCAAGGCCTCATACTAAACCAGTATATTGTGAAATTGTATGCCCAACCTTATAACCTAAGGAATATTTCTGAGAGGTGTTGAGGTACTTACACAAGAAGGAGCGCCACTCGGATCAGCAAAGCCCAATCTGCCACCCACCATCCGTACTGCCAGGTCAGTTTACAGGACTAGTAAAGCAATAGCACCCTAGGTTCAGCTACTGTCTGAACGCGAGAGAGGGAACATACTGTTTCCCTCCCACGGGCTGGTGTTTACTGATGCCCCATTCCCATTTCTCAGATACCTTGATCCACTCAGGACACCCAAACAGGCTCCTAGGCAGAGTAGCGGCAACTAGTTTTATCCCATTCCCTTCCCATAACATCACAAATCCAAAACATGAATATCCATCACAGAAGAAAAGTTAACTCAGCATTTGCTCTGGAGGTCTACCTTTCACTCCTTTATCTGCCTTAGATCATAAAGCTTGTGTTGAGGGTTTGGTCCCAGACAGCTGTCAGTCATACTGGTTTATGCTTCATCTGGTTGTAAGAGTCTGCAAAGACATGTACTTGTTCAGTTCCTTTTAAATCCTCTCCTGGGTGGAGGCAGTAGCCCTGCTCTCTCCCACACAGCCACAGGGAGAAAGTCACATGGAAGAGAGTCTACACTCCCTACCAGCAGTTCTCAGAACAAAGGCTTAAAGCTGTCAACAATGAGATCTGACCAGACACAGAAGTAGCTCTGTCCTTAAGGGCTCCTCCTGAGACTCAATTTTCAGCACACTCTGGAATGAGATGGTAAGTATCCAAAGAACAATTCCCCAGCTCCTGTTTCACCTACTGGGGCAACCCAATCCCCCTTTCCCAGAATACAGATGAGACAGTACTGAGCAGGGACTTTGTTTCATGATTAACATACTTTCCCAACTTCCTTGATCAACTGGGAAAGAGATGCTAAGACAGGCTAAGACTTGAAGGGAAATCAGCAGCCTTTAGAATTTTCCTGATGCAAGGCAAGTAAAGATGACAGAAACTTTCCACAGATCAGCAAAGACCAAACAGCTGCAGAGATACCTGGCCCAGGAAATTGGACTACATGAGTGCCCTGGAAAAAGGAACTTCTATGAAACTAGCCGAGCCTACCACAAAAGGCGTGTATGCCTGGCCTGTATAAGGTGTTGACCTAGAGATCTGCTGATGATCTCAACTAATGAAGTTCATAGGCCTTCCCTCGCAGGGAAACTTAATGAAGCTTCCTTCCCTCGCAGAGACTGGTACCACTGCATGGAAAGATGTGAAAACTCAGATGCACTGATGTTTCTCTGTATTTGTGCTCACACAAACCTGTTTATCAGCTCCCTGTGACTATCTTCCCACTCCAGTTGAGGCAGCTTCCTCACCTAGGAAAACAGAATGCTATGATCTCCTGGTGCAGCCTTCTGAGATAGTCACAACATTATCTTCACTCCTGCCTGCTGGAATTGAATAAGGGGTGACAGCTTAGCATTTCTTTCATAGCATCTCCTGGAAATGCTCAGGCTTATCACTGCAGTTAGCCTTGCCCTCCATTCTCCACCAGATTAGATATACTTGCTTTACAATGATGATACTTGCTGGAGAGAGAAATCAGCCATGCCCCTATTAAAACAAGCATTGTTTACCATGAGAAGCCCCTCTGAATCTGCCTTGCTCAATTTGCTCTACTCTCAGCACATGTATGATCTTTGCAGTTCCTGCAGGAATCCAGGAAACCTGCTGGGGCTTCAGCCAACCCAAAAGGGAGATTGGTATTGGATGTGTACAGGAACACCATCCTCCTACGACAGCCAGACTTAGTCCACTCCACCGTCCCTCCCCTTGGAAAGCATCTGGCAAGCCAAATTCAGAATTTCATGATATTCTGAAAATGCGCAGCTTAGCCCAGCTCACAGAGATGGTTACAATCAGTACTCCTCCTGGCCTTCTCTTTCCTTTTTAGCATCAATCCCAAGAGCAGCTTATGTTTTCTTAAAACCCATAAAACGACTGTAAGACTAAACACATCTTGTGGAAAAGTGCCAGTCAAGTTAGGTTCAGCTTTGCCAGTTTCTTAAAATAACATCTCCAACCTTTCAGAAAAGCAGTACAACATTGGCTCAGACTAACATCAAGACAGAGCTGGCCTCAGAAAAATAACAGACTCAGGGCACCAGCCAGGCTGAACAGGTCTCAGGCACAACAATAGAAAAGCATGTATATGATTCCTACCATAAAAATTACAAGTTAGAGTCAAGTAGTTACACAAATAACACCTGATATTTTACTTCCTAATCCTAGAGGGAAGACAACCAAGCCATCTCCCACCTCAAGATTTGCTCTGGATAAAAATTTTACCACTCTCCTCTTGACAACAAACAGAAAAGCCTGTCCTTCAGAGAAGGTGCATCGTGTAAAAAATTCCAGCTTGGACAAGGTGAGTCCTGCTCAATTAAGAGGAAGACTGCCCAGTTAAACTAGTGTTTCAAAGAAGCCTTTGCAGCCCACAGAGCTAGGCTAATTCACAAACAGCACTGAGTGTATGCTGTCTTATGGAAACACTGCCTCCAAATCCCATGAGCATGTGTTAACACACTCCCCTTTCTTCACAAATTTTGATTATCAGTGTTCTGTTCTCTCACTTCAAGACAGAAACACACAATTCACTCTTTGCTGAGAGAGACATGTTAAATTGCAGCAAATATGTTCTCAAGAGTCCTCTAACCCTAAATGCATACATAGCTGCCAGTGCTATTTTCATACCCATTGCAATCAGTAAATTGGACTCTACTTCTTTCTTCTGCACTCATCCTGAAGCAGGTGGTCTTCTTTTGTCCAAAGTAACCTAGGAATTCAGGCAATAAAGCATAAGGAACCCAGGACCAGAATAGCACCTTGCCTCATTGCATAAGCAGAGCAAAACACTTAGGAATCTGCGTAAAGCCAGGAATGCTTTGAACGCAGATATATTTAGAAGACTGTAGCCCCCTGTCCAGCATGTATTATTGGGGTTAATATCCATAGCCAGCCTACCTATACCAGTTATCCTCTGCCTGTTTACAAGCCAATGCCCAATACCTTATATTTCTGAGGATACGTATGCCACACTGCAAGTCAGAAGGGTCCCTCCTGATCCTAAAAACCCGACTTTCTCTAACATCCAAGTACAGTGTAATGAGACAAGGCAGAACTGAGAAAGCCAGCAGAACCAATGTGCTCTGTAGCATCAGCCCCAAGAATTTGGAGCTTACCCAATCCTTCGGTCTCGCAAACAGATACATGAACCTAATACAACTATGAATTCGTCTTCCTCACTTCCTTTTCCTGAATTTCACACACACTAAAATAAAATAAATAAATAGACTTTCAAATGTCTTTTGCAGTGATAGCTCAAACCAGGGACAACTCATCAACTAAATCTTTAAGTACACTATAGCAATTACTAGTATACAAGCAGTAGCACAGCTCTGTACATACGCCCCATACAAAGTGCCCAATTTGCATGACACCCCCAGATCTGCCAGACATACAGGTTTCTATTCATTAAGTCTAGAAACAGACAGACAGTTGCCAAATGTGATTTCCCCTCACTATTCTCCATTCAGCAACTAAAGCTTACGATGGCCTAAACCTGAAAGCCTGAGAAATCTTCATCATATGGCATAAGCACACCTCATTTCCAAAATCAGACTGGTTTGCAATAATTGAACAGATAATTACTTCTCCCACGAGTGAACCAACTCACGACTAGAAACCATCTAGATCCATTCAGTGTTCAAAGCACAGCAAACACAGTGAAGAGGCAAGGCTCAAATACTACTTCCTTGAGTATTAAGAACTGAATCTGTAACTCTTTTAACTAATATACCCACGAGTAATTAGAATCTAATTACTACTTCTCCCTTCAGTCTCTTGCAGTACATAGTCATTTATTTGTGCTGCAACTTATATTGCAAGTTGCTACTGAAAATGACATGGAAATATAGTATTTTATATAACAAAACAAAAAATGCTCAGATTACTATACGTAGAAGGCTTTACATATCTCCAACTTGTCTTCTCCCTTGCAAAGAACATGCATCATTCAAGGAGAGGAAGTGCCCATTAAAACAAACACATTGATATTATGGGAAATTCTCCAGAAATCACAGAATCATTGAATTATTTAGGTTGGAAAAGACCCGTAAGATCATCAAGTCCAACAATAAACCTGACACTGCCAAGTTCACCACTAAGCCATGTCCCCAAGCACCTTATAGTCTCCTGTTTCATCAGAAAAAGTACTGCAGAGGTTGGCCCCCAGCTCCTAGGGGCAATGCACTCCACCTGCAGCTCCCTCGATATCCTCACCACTGAAAACAGCAACCAACCAAGTTGTATTACACTACCTTCATATCTCAAAAAAAAATCTTTCAGCTGCATACAAACTCAGAAAGTAACTCACCATGACACGTTAGACTATTTCTGCCACAAACTTCTTCCATAAATGAGCACCCACTCATGACTGGAAACCATGTTCCCTACTCCAATTAGTATTCAAGGCACAGCAAATATGCAATAAAAGAAATAGAGCTTGAGGACTGTTTCATTGCACAGCAGCACCATGGAACAGATACCACATGAGCCTACCGAGGAAGAGATTCAAACATCAAAATGAATTGGCTAGGCAGAACCCAGAGAAGCAGGAATTAAAATTTTAAAGAAGTAAGCAACTCTTCAGACAGTCTGGGTCAAACAACCTTTTGAAAGACCTACACAGATCAGTAGCTCAGCAGAAGCAGCTTTCCAGAAGAGGACAACGAAGACTCGACTACAAATACAAAGGGTACTTCAGGTCAGCCTGTTAACATGAGGTTGTCTGTCAAAACCGTTCTTCAAAAAGATTTCACTGTATGGCTGCAGACAAGAGAGGCGACAGATCTTAAATTTTACGACAGATATTCTGCAGTTCACCACTAATCTATCTGATAAAACGACTGTTCAGAAGCTCTTGGGAAAAAGCACAGACTGCAATTTTGCATAATTGTGATTATCAGTCACTTACAGGTCTCTCACAGCACATTCTTCTCAACAACAGCACGTAAGCAACTCTCATAGTTTTATACAGGCAGACAGCAGCCAAGCTGAAATCCATCAAAGACGAATTCACTCTGCTTCTGCAGAGCGAGTTCCTTCGTACAAAGCAGTGGTGTAGGGGTAGCTGCAAGGCAAGGAGAAATCAGCAGAGCCACTAATAACACACTATTCAAGAGACGTCTGAGAAGCTACAAGCTAAAACAACTAGAGTGTTTTAAACAGAATTTCCTTATTCACAAACTCAATCTTCTTTTCATTACAGATAGAGAACAAAGTGTGCTGCACACAGAATGAAAATGAGGAGGATGAAAGAACATTCCCTGAAAAAGAAAAGCTGCCTGGTACAACCCCCCAGTCAACAAGCAAATTGCTGCAGCTTCTGAAACCTCCAGATGCAATAAAACACCCTAGTCAGTTCTCAGTCAGTCCCCAGGTGGTGGTACCAACAGGCCAAACAAAAGGTGGAGGTGACATTAGCAGAGTGACGAACTGGAGAAGTGTGCAGAGAAGATAGCTTCCTTGACCAAGCAGCATAAGAGGGTAGCAGACAGCAGAGTCCAACCTGAGGGCTACATACAGTTTTCTATGTTACCTTATATGACAAGCAAAGAGAAACTTCACTAGGGAAACCAAAGAACCAGGTAGCTCAGTTTCTCCATCTCTGGAATCCTATGTTCCTCCAAAGGCTTCCATGGCTACACTTTGGCTGTAGAACACTAAGCCTATGACACCAGACTCTTTATCTTGCGCATTTCAACACTGCTGGGCAGAGATCATCTCTCAGAAAAGACAGAAACTGATAGCAACAGGCAAAAACAGAACCTCGTTTTTATTACTTCTAAACTCTCAGTTTCTCCATCTCTGGAATCCTATGTTCCTCCAAAGGCTTCCATGGCTACACTTTGGCTGTAGAACACTAAGCCTATGACACCAGACTCTTTATCTTGCGCATTTCAACACTGCTGGGCAGAGATCATCTCTCAGAAAAGACAGAAACTGATAGCAACAGGCAAAAACAGAACCTCGTTTTTATTACTTCTAAACTGC